GTACATCAGTATGTCATGATATACGCATGTATGCATGTCTGCATATATGTATGTATGTATGTATGTGTGTATGTATGTATGTATGTATGTATGTATGTATGTATGTATGTATGTATGTATGTATGTAACATGTCCGTATTTGCTGTTTGAATAATCAGCGTGATGGTGCCAGCACTAGTTTTATGAGAAAGTTTCTAGCACAGCATATTCATAATATTTTGCTTATATACACTGCTTTCCTTGCCAAGCCGAAACGCGCAAGTCCCCAAAAATCATGCCAGAGACCATCAAGAGGTATAAGCCGAAGGCCTCCACCCAAAGCCCTAAACCTCCAAACCGAGCCCTAAACCCTAAATCCCTGCAGAACACAAAAGCCCGAGGTTTTCTGGCAGAGCTCTCGCTTTGCCGACTATCCGACCATGCCCAGGCTACAGGCACAGAACCCAAGACCAAAACCCCGAATATAGGTGCCTGAATAGTTTGAGTTGGGTTCATTTCAGGGGTTTAGAGGCATTGTCGGGTTGAGTATATCGGTCTTCTTGATTCGACTGGTCTGTTTTGGAGTTTATTACATTATAAGTATGCAATTATGTAGCGACTACTGTAGAAGGGACCATCAATGACTGATATTAGCAAGTATTTCCACCCCTACACTACATCTCATCAACTCAACCCTAGACCCGAACCTTACAGTCCAAACCCCTCATATAGGGGTCTAAATAAGTACCAAACTACGGTGGGGGTTCCGTATTATGCTTACTTACAGTATAATGGGCCCAACCTTTATTCTGACTATTAAGGCCCCTATATTACACCTCAAGCACAAGACCCTAAACCTGAAACCTTTCCGCCCTAATGACTCCCAGGCCCGGAAGGTTAACGACTTGCTAATCACGCTCTATGAAACCCTTTTGCCCTCGTTGAGCCACACTAAACCCTGAACCCTAAACTGCCGATCAGCCCCTCAAACCCAATTGAGGCCCGTTTCTTGCGCATCCCAAGTGTGAAGACGACTGAGAGGCTGGCATTCCAATCTTGTTTCAACCAAACCTCCCCATAGAGGGCTCCTTCTCAGGTTTCCTCTTAGGGTTCCTTCTATATATGCCTTTAGTTTCCTCTTAGGGTTCCTTCTATATATGCCTTTAGAGTCGAAGCCACGGAGGCGCTTGAACGAATGCTTCAAGGAGCCCTATTTCAAAGCAAAGCCTCCGCTGCTTTCGGAAGGCCCAGGTGCTCGCCAGGACTGCTCTGGGACGAAAGCAAAGAGACTCCAAAACCTTTCGGGTTGGGGTGGTCATTTAGGGTAGTTAGGGCATCTGGCTCCTTTTTGGCTACAAGTCTTCATGTTTGGTATGTAGAATAAAACCCCATAAGGATTAAAAGTGATGATGTTTAATATCGCCCCAACAGGGAACCAGGTGTAGGGCTTCCGGGCAGTTGGGATTGCTTGGGTGTGAGTCAGGTTAGGGCTTTGGAGCTTTGCGTCAGCAGGCTCAGGATTTGGGGATTTAATTAGGTTTTTTGTACCCTAAACCCTTAACCTTTTTGTCGCTTTGGGAGTTTAGGATTTGTGGTTTGGAAAGGTGGCTTCTGAATAAGTGCATTTGTCTTTCAAGGGGTACTTGGGATCTGATTAATTTAAGGCTCCATGTTAGTTCCTTTTTGTGGTTCATATTTGAGATCCTAGAAGGTAATTCCAGAAAGGAACGACTATGGAGCCTATGGGTAGCCAGCCCGGAGTCCCCACACCCAGCGCAAACTTCACAGCCAACGCCTCAAAGCTTATAGGGTTTAGGGTTTAGGGTTTAGGGTTTAGGGTTTAGGGTTTAGGGTTTAGGGTTTAGGGTTTAGGGTTTAGGTTTAGTACCGGTAATCCTGCCGACAGCACCAATACAGAGAGCCGCGGAAAAAGCCTTGTCGTAGCTTCAGAAACCCAGAACCCTGAATCCTGGAAATCAAACCTAAACCCTAAACCCTAAACCCTGAACCCTAACCTAAATCCAAACAACCGCTAAACTGTCGCCCCCACGACCTGCCGCCAGGAGGGAAATGCTGTCGCAAGTGTCCGAGAAGGAGAAAGTCGATCTCGAGAGGTCCGCAAAAGCGTGTGGCTTTGATCGTTAGTGCGGTTTAGGGTTTGGGGCTTAGGGCTCACTACTGCTAATGTTGATTATCCCTATATGCTTCCAGGGACCTTATTGTTGGGTCCTCAGGTGTAGTACATAATAGCGCAACTCCACGGGACTACTAAACAAAGGATTTGTAAAATGGGTTCTAAGAGCGCGCAAGTGGTTGGGTATTGAACTGAAGTGGGAAAAGGTTGTGGGACTTAGTGTCTATGGGGTACAAAGTGTACAAAGAAGGCAACTGTGATGCGAAGCCAACTGAAATCTAGAACCGTGTAGAACTCAACCCTGGAGAACCATAAAACCTTATAGCCTAAGCCTTAACCCCAAAATCTCTTGATCCTCAAGCGGGTCTCGTTTCATGGCAGAGGCCGTGGCCTCTGGACTAATTCCTGAGAGAAGTGTGGTTTTTGTGTAGTGTTTGGTGTCATTTCGCTTGCATCTGGTGTTTTATCGGGTTAGGGTTTCCGAGTTTAGGGCTTTCAACAAGTTTTGATTCAGGCGCCAATTATCGGAGTGTTGGGACTTGGGGCCCCTGTACTACGACAAGGTTTAGGGTTTAGGGTTTAGGGTTTAAGGTTCGAACCTCTGCCGCAGGCTTCTTTGGGCCCATGCCCTCGTCTCCACCCGAGCGATCGGTGCCTCCATCGACGCCTGCGCCCTCATCCCGGGTGTTGCGCCTCGCCTTCCGGCCAGGGGTTTAGGGTCCATGGTTTAGGGTTTAGGGGTTTAGGGTTTAGGGTTCAGGGTTCAGGGTGTAGGGTTTAAGTTTCAGGGTTCAGGGTTCAATTTTTCGGGTTCAAGGTTCGGGGTTCGGGGTTTGTAGGGTTTTGGAGTTTTGAGCTGCTGATGGATGTTCGGTTTCAGTTGCCAAGCGGTGTCAGACTTGCTTGGGGACCGAGCGACCTTGAAATTAACGGTTTAAGCGGCTCCTAAATGATAAAATTCTATCAATGACTACACTGACCTAGCCCTAAACCCTAAGCCCTAGCCCTAAACCCTGAACATTGTTTGCAAGGGGCGACGAGCTCCAAGCAATAAGCTTCAACCACTACAAGATCAGGCAGCTCCAAGACGGCATAGGGTTTAGGGTTTAGGATTGCCGGAGTGAGCGTGACAGAATTTGCGCATTGCTTCTTCTCCGATCTAAAAGAAGCCGGAAAGGGCGGGCTTGCCATGCTTCAGAAAGGACCCAGAGAACCCAATACCCCTTAATTAAGGAATATACCTGAAAATTATAGAGGCCTTCATAGGATGATTTTAAGGTATATATATTCCTTAATTGAGGGGTATTGGGTTCTCTGGGGAGGTGTTGAACGGCGGCTTGTTGAAGTCACAGGCTTCTCGTGCCGCGCGGCTCCAGGCATGGAAAGCTCAGCGTGGTACTGCGTTCCTCCCGAAGAGCAAGCCGAAACGTGGGAGATGTGGGTGGAGGCTTTGAGTTTGCTTCAGGTAAACCCTAAGCCCTAAACCCTAAAGCCTAAGCCCTAAACCCTATAAACCCTAAACCCTAAGCCCTTCACTAAGCATCGATTTCGGCATCACGTTGCCTCTCCATATGACTTCTTTGATGTCGCGTTTACCCAGAGGTTCCAAAGTAGCTCCTTTTGGGGTTTGTTATGGTTTTATGGAAAGGAATCATAGTACACTATCCAAAAAAGGAACTACATAGGAGCCCTTGCGCTTAGATTGGGAAAGATGTCAGGGCCATGACTGTGCCGCGACTTTGTCCGATGTTTGTAGGGTTCTGTGAGGGTTCTAAAACTTTTCGGTTTTAAGTTTTAGGGGTTTTCATGGTTTAGGAGCTACTTGGAGTATGACATGACACACTATAGTTACTATAGCTGCACCCTAGCGCCGCGCTGCTGTGCCAACCCCTATTCATTGGGCCTAATCCCTGAGCCCACAACTGTTCATCGACAGGCCATGCATTACGTTGCGTTCCCTAAACATGCGAAGAACTGCTGCAAGTTGTTCTCTTGACAATGCATGGTTGTGATCATCAGCAGTATGCTTGGTGTAGGGTGTAGGGTTTTGGGTTGCGAGTGATGCTGCTCGAAAAAATGAAGCGCTGAAGGATGAAATCGATGATTCTCTGGCATAGCCGAAATGTGTTGGGAGTCTCTAAGCCCTAAAACCTAAATCGATTACGATGATGGTGGTCTGCAGGCTCCAGGTGTGGAGTAGCCATGCTAGAATACTGAAAACCCGAGTATAGATCCTTTACCCATAGGCCCTAAAGTAGTTCCTTTTTGGGGTTCATATATAGAATCCTGCAAGGTAACCCCTAAACCCTAAACCCTAAACCCTAAACCCCAAAAAGGAACTACTATGGGGCCTATGGGTAGATCCTTAGACCCCACAACCACCGAGCCGGAGAGCCCAGAGCCACCAAAAAAATCATTGAGGGCCTAAGGACCTAGCTACTAATCGGTTTAGGGTTTAGGGTTTAGGGTTTAGGGTTTAGAGCTTACAATACCTCCATCCGACTCTCAAATGCCGTATCATAAGGTATTCTGGACCTTTAGGGTCCGCCCTAAAGATCCGAACCTGAAACCTTAAAGCCAAAACTCCCAAACCCCAAGCATTAGCATGAAGGCGTAAACGATTCGTATAAGAATGTTCATAGGGTTCCTTATCCCAAAATCGTTTTTACTTAGTAACACCCTAAACCCTAAACCCTAAACCCTAAACCCTAAACCCCTGGTTCTTTAGCGCTGCTTGACTAAGGATCTGGCCAACCACAGTCCCGACCCCAATGCGGACCTCACCGTGGCCTGACACTCAGCTACTTGGAGGTTCATGGGTAGTTATAAGTGGGGTTATAAGTAGGGTAACTATACTTATAAGCCATATTAGGGGTCTTATAACCCTATTCATAACTAACCATGAACCTCCAGCTACATCTGATGGGACTCTTCAATCTGGTTTGGGTTTGTGAGCTCTCGCTCCGCGTGGGTGAGTCTGTGTGTATATCTATATCATTACAAGTGTATACATGTATGTGAACTCATGTATCTCCCATTTGAAACTAACCCTAAACCCCTAAACC